GACTACAAAAGTTAGTAGTGTCTGCTTTTTCAGACTACAATGGTTTGTAGTGTCCGCTTTTTTCATTATAAAAGTTAATAGTGTCCACTTTTTGAGACTACAATGGTTTGTAGTGTCCGCTTTTTGAGACTACAAAAGTTAGTAGTGTCTGCTTTTTCGGACTACAATGGTTTGTAGAGTCCGCTTTGTTCATTATAAAAGTTAATAGTGTCCACTTTTTGAGACTACAATGGTTTGTAGTGTCCGCTTTTTTCATTACAAAAGTTAATTGTGTCCACTTTTCTGACATATAGTATGTAGTGTGGTTAACTATATATATATAGGTCATTGTGGATATGATTGAAGGATTGGGATGAGTTGACATTCTGCCACTTATGAATAGTTGTGTTTGATGTCAGGTCCATGGCTGTTTTCCACACTAAGCCACTATCCTATCTTTGATGTTGGTTAACCTTCCACTCAGATCAGTATCTGCTGTCCTATGTCTGACCACAGTCAATCTTCACATGATTTTTTTGGAGTGATAAATTCTCTGTGCTACCAATGCAACTTGTCATGTCTTTCAATACCAAGACCAGTTGTCATTCTCCAAGCCTTCACCACTAGGGTCAGCCTTGAGTAGATTGATTTAAAGGTACCAAAAGTGAGTTAAATATGTGGTTGGTCCTGTCTGTTTTTCAATGTCTATCCAGGATTCATGTGAAGCACACCCTTTGATTAGATAGGATAGTGACTTCTCATATGAAAAGACATCACAGATTGCAAGTATAAAAAGCAGCCATGGACCTGACATCAAAAGCAACTATTCATAAGTGGCAGAATGTCAACTCATCCCAATCCTTCAATCATATCCCCAATGACCTATATATATATAGCTAACCACACTACATACTATATGTCAGAAAAGTGGACACAATTAACTTTTGTAATGAAAAAAGCGGACACTACAAACCATTGTAGTCTCAAAAAGTGGACACTATTAACTTTTATAATGAACAAAGTGGACTCTACAAACCATTGTAGTCTGAAAAAGCAGACACTACTAACTTTTGTAGTCTCAAAAAGCGGACACTACAAACCATTGTAGTCTCAAAAAGTGGACACTATTAACTTTTATCATGAAAAAAGCGGACACTACAAACCATTGTAGTCTGAAAAAGCAGACACTACTAACTTTTGTAGTCTCAAAAAGCGGACACTACAAACCATTGTAGTCTGAAAAAACAGACACTACTAATTTTTGTAGTCTCAAAAAGCGGACACTATTACTTTTGTAATGAGAAAAGCAGACACTACTAATTTTTGTAGTCTTTGTCTGACCTTTGTGGTCTATGTCCAACTTTTGTAGTCTTTTTTGTAGTCTATTAGTAAACTTTGTAGGCTATAAATTACTTTTGTAGTCTGTCAGTGTCAATTACCCTTTTAGGGCATGTACCTTCCTTTTTGGGAGAAATTTCCCACGATACAATAGTTGTAGCCCCTTCTCTTAGCTTTCTAAATCTGTTGAAATCATGTTGTTTAGTGTTCTTTTCATGAAGAAAAATGCAAAAAACAAAAAAAAACGCAGTGCTTTTGAAAACCTTTTACCTTATATCTCCACAATGGAAGCACTTTAGGACATAATTCCAACTGATTCTGGAAGCTATGGTAAAGAGCTACAACTTTTGTTTTTTTACCATTTTTGGAAATTTGTCATGTGACCACCCTCCCAATGACCCATTGGATGGACCGTAATAGCTATTTCATTGCTATCATGGAATATAATGAAAAATCATAATGATATCCCTGGGGGCAGATATGAAATTGGAATGAAATATTGAGATACTGAATGAAAAATCCCAATGAAAGCTGTGGAATATTCAATGAAAGTGCACATCATTAATTATGAAAGAAGCAATGAATACATATAACCTAGCTAATGAAATATTTATTGAAATGCACAATGAAAGCACCCAGAATTGATAATGAAATATTCAATGAAAGCACACAGCATTAATTATGAAAGAGGCAATGAATACACCTGACCTAGGGAATGAGATATTTATTGAAATTGCACAACATTAATTATAAAAAGTACAATGAAAGCATCCAATATTCCTAATGAAATATTCAATGAAAGCGCACACAATTAAATATGATAGAGGCATTGAATACACCTAACATAGTGAATGAAATATTTATTGAAATCACACAGGATTAATTATGAAAAAAGCAATGAAAGCATCCAATATTCCTAATGAAATATTCAATGAAAGCACACACCATTAAATATGAAAGAGGCAATGAATACACCTGACCTAGGGAATGAGATATTTATTGAAATTGCACAACATTAATTATGAAAAGTACAATGAAAGCATCCAATATTCCTAATGAAATATTCAATGAAAGCGCACACCATTAGATATGATAGAGGCATTGAATACACCTAACATAGTGAATGAAATATTTATTGAAATCACACAGGATTAATTATGAAAAAAGCAATGAAAGCGCCCAAAATTCCTAATGAAATATTCAATGAAAGTGCACACCATTAATTATGAAAAAGGCAATGAATACACCTAACCCAGTGAATGAAATACCTATTGAAAGCGCACAGGTTTAATTATGAAAAGCACTCTGTGGCCTTGCCTATATCTTATGAAAAGAACATAGGTTTTATGAGAAAGAAAGACACAGGACACATCTATGAAAGGCCTTTCATAAAACTTGTGGACTTATACACACAGCTCTACAGGCAATTGCCTTAGTTTTATCATAAAAGTGGTAGCCACCAGTCTCAGTGGAATGTAAGGGTGCCAACTAGCATTGGAATCGTACCAATCAAGATCCAAACCCCACTCCATGTCCAAGTAGATGCCTGTCGGCCCCTTTGACCTGTGCTCGTGCCCTCGTTGAACTTTGTACTCCATCGCCTCGATTGGAATTGTGGAATTGGAAGCGTTGAAAGCTACCCAATCGTGTTGACCAGTCACGCGGAATTCGAACGATGGGACGCCGCCCGAGGTGTCCATGAACAAAATGTCCATGATCGTTCACCGAGGATGGAAATCCGTCGACGGCTACTGATCTTATGCGGTGCCTTAGGCAGGATGTCCTCGCCTCTGGCAGATGTCGAGAAGAGCAAGAGGGCCAAGGAGAGAACAGAAAGAGGGCAAGAAAAACAAAGAGAAGATAAAACGAGAAATAAAGGAAAGACCCGAAAAATTAAAAAAGAAAGAAAAAAAGAAACTAAAAGAAATGCAGCCGGACGGACTGGCCGTAATCTAATGTACTAATCATAAATACTACTAACCACGCTGAGGGCATTAGACCTGACAGTACCGGCTGCGGGTATCCCTCATTTGACGGAATTTTACAAACCGTGGGCTCTCTTGTACTCATTGAGTACAAGAGGTGTGTTCTTCAGTGAGACTGTAGGCTCCCACGTGTCAAATTGAGGCCCATATCCTTCCCAACGCACTAGCCACTCCATGCCATGACGCTTTCGACGATGGCCGACTATGGCTTCCACACAGTATTCTTCCGTTGCGGGCTTGACGCGCCTTGACTCCCTCAATCGTGTACGTTCACCCCATTTCTCGTCTGACTCAGTATACGGCTTCAAATGTTCGATGTTAAACACAGGAAATCCGGGGTATTGGTCACTCATTCGGAGGCGATAGACTTTAGGATTTATCTTCTGTATAACCTCGAACGGACCAATCCATCTCTGCTTTAGCTTTGCTCCCGATCCTTTTGAATCAACCCATTCAAGGGAGTGTGGATTGACTAAAACCCGTGAGCCTTTCTTGAATTCGGGAACTGGGCGACGTGACTTATTATATTGCATGGCTTGTTTATCTTGTGCTACAGCTATTGCTCTCCTGGCGCTTTCCCTGTGCATAGCCAAAGTCTCGAGAAAAGTCACCGCTTCAGGGGACAACGTGTACTTCGTCGCGCCGGCCTGATTCGGCTTCAAGAAATCCAGTGGGGTCCTGGGATGGAATCCGTAGAGCAAGAAGAAGGGCGTGGTTCCCGTCGAACTATGAACTGTGTTATTGTAGGCGAACTCCAAGATGTGCAACCACGCAGACCAGTCGGACAGATCATCGTTAACGTAGGCCTGCAACATAGTCGCTAAGTGTTTATTAACCACTTCTGTCTGTCCGTCGTGCTGAGGGTGGTGCGAAGAGGAGAGTGACATCTTTGTCTTCAGATACTTTGCCACTCCTTTCCAAAAGTCCGAAGTCCATCTGGGATCGCGGTCCGTAATGATACTTTCAGGGAGCCCAAATCGACATCCGATGTGTTTCACATAGAGTTCTCCGAATTCTTCCGCAGTCAGTCCTGTAGTCGTAGGGATGAAGCTCGCATGTTTGGTGAGCCTGTCAACAACAACAAAAATTGCATTAGATTGATCCGACCAGGGCAGATTGACCACAAAGTCCATGGATATTGACTGGTAGGGTCGAAGCGGAATTGGATTAGGAATCAAGAATCCAAACTTGTTGAAGTTGGAAAACTTAGTCTTCTGGCAGACGTTGCACGAATGGGTAAATGCCAGTATGTCCATCTTCATTCTCTTCCAGTAGAACTTTTGGCTTAATTGTTGCCATAGTCGTTCCGGTCCTGCGTGACTGGATTCCAATGGATTTTCATGTGCTTCTCTCAAGATGAAATTCTGCTGAGACTTGGGGACGCAAAGGTGAGGTTGGTAGTTTGGGTCGATAAAGTAAAGTAGTCCTCTTTCATCCTTCATGAAACGTTCATTGGGTTTCCAATCAGCGGAATCTTTCGCTTTGTCTGCCCACACGGAGCGGAACACTTTATCATCCTGGTATCCTTGCACCCATTGGTCGCGAAACACGTCATCGATGGCGATGTGGATGTTAGGGGCCGGGTTCGTCATGTTCCAGTAGTCGGCGCTGGGCTCTAATTCGTCCAAACTTTCGCCGTCCGTAGCAGGAGTAACTGATGATGTCCAAGCAGATTTCCTCCCTTCCAAGCAATCTTCTATTGTCCATGCATTGAAAGCTGTCCGCGCCGGTTCGAATTCCGCTTGTCTTTCTTGTTGCTCTGCTAAACTGGAATCTGTTCTAATGCTAGGGATGTCGTCCGGAAGGGGGGAGATATGCTCTGGGGGAGCCCTAGGGAGTCGGGACAAGGGGTCCACATTCGAGTGAATTCTTCCTGCCCTATGAATAATCTCCAAATTCGGAGCGTATGCTGAGAATACGGCCCCCCACGCTGCTAGGCGACGGTTAGAGTTTTCGTATGTCCTGGCCCATTGAAGTGCAGAATGGTCAGTCACCAATAACACCTTCTTGCCCTCGATAAACGGTTGGAATTTGACCAGTCCCTCCTTCGCTGCAAGTGCTTCCCTCTCCGTAGTGGAATATCGTGTTTCAGCTGACTTGAACGTCCTTGACCAGTACGCAATAACCCTCTCAACATGGACCGTGGAGGAATCAAATGTATCGCCCCATGCGTCAGTAGCGGGACTGTCACTCGTCTTTGTACTTATAGTGGTGGTTAACTTAGGCGGAGGGAGTCCGGCATCAAATTGTTTTCGTAATCGGAGGTATGTCCTCGTTCCCTTTAAGTCCTTGACCGTAATGGGTTGGATCTGTTGCAAAGCACAGCCCAAAGCTTCATCTGAGGCGTCAGTGTAAAGCCTGTATGGCAAGCCCTCGATAGGATGTCCTAACAATGGACTAGCTTGCAAAGCTTTCTTCGCCGCCTCAAATGCGTGCTCTTCTTCTGCTCCCCAGTTCCACTTCTTGCCCTTCCATAACATCTGGAAGAGTGGGGAACATATTGACGCGTAGTAGGGTATAAATGCCGCGAAGTATACTACCATCCCCAGAAATGTCTGAAGTTGGGAGAGTTTCTTAGGACGTTCAAGATCCAGGATTGCTTTCACTTTCTCCAAATGCGTAGACAAACCAAGTCGAGAGACCTTATGTCCCAGCAGAAGAATTGATCCATAGAACAAGTGACATTTCTTCGGGGATAATGTAATGCCTGCTTTCTCTATGGCTTCCAACACCAAATCCAAATGCTCAATATGGTCTTCGTATGACTTCGAATAAACCACAATATCGTCAATGTATACCAAGCAAAATAGCCAAAGATATGGCACTAAAATGCCTTGCATCACTCTTTGAAATATGGACGGCCCGTTCCGTAACCCAAAGGGCATTCGCTTAAACTGGAATAGACCTCTGTGGGTACGGAAAGCAGTTTTCTCAACGTCGGCTGGATCAAGTTCAAGCTGGGTGAATCCAGATAAAGCGTCCAAGGATGATAATACTTGTGCGCCGGAAAGGGATGACAAAATTTCTGATTGGCGCGGTATAGGGAACTCATCTGGGGTAGTAACCGCATTTAATTTCCTGTAGTCGATACAAAAGCGTGGTTTTCCGTTGCGGTAGGCAATGACGACAGGAGCGCTCCAGGGACTAATGGATGCTTCTATGACTCCTTGTTCAAACCAAGTATTGATTTGAATGTCCATGAATCGACGCTTTTCTGGGGAACTCCCATACATTGGGACTGATATGGGAACTTGGCCGTCCTGTGTCCAAATATGGACTTTTGTCTTAAGATGGCCTAGTCTACCATCAAAACCGAATGCCTTGACTCTGCGTTCCAGCATGCTCCACGCTTTATCGTGCAAATGCTCGGGTAGTGATCCAACATCGATAAAATCCTTCATGCGCGAGGATGGAAAAGTAGTCAAGTCCGGCATTTCAGCGGTTTTGGGACCAAAAGATTCGTCGAGGTCCCCCGAATCGTTGGACTGCCTCTGCTGTTTGTCAACTTTGTTCAACTCATTCAGACTGACTGTCACGTCCGCAGGCTTACTGTCGTTTGCCATTTGAATCTGAATTATCGATTCAATCGCTTCGGCGTGTTTGCAATGTTTCTCCCAGTCGTCCAATGTTTTCACGTGATCAAAGTATTCGTTCGGATCTGATAGAACTCCAATCACCTCGCCTTTACACACATAACGAGGACGATCAGAGGGGTTGGAAACTGGTACCCAGGGATTTGATGCAGAGATGAGAGTGTTTGGGACCACGAAGTAAGAATCATCGGCTCCTGCGAGTAGGTTTTTGCTAACGAGCCAATCTCTGTCCTTGCCTAGCTGTCCTTCAACCTGTATACGTTTGCACTCGTGAGGCCGTATTTTGTAGTCTGCTGCTGCGCAGACGACTTTCTCGTCTCTTCCAAACTTCACCTTCTGTCTGTGGCGTTTGTTTTTACCTCTTCTGTGGAGCTTAGACCTGATGAATTTTCCAATTGAATGAATTCGTAGGGTGACTTCCCAAAACGTACTCTAGGACCTTCCTCAACGTTCCTCGTAACTCCAACTTCGTAGGTCAGTTGGTAATCCTCGCCTAACAAGATAGGGACTGTCATTCCTGGAACGACATAAGCCTTGGCTTCTGTCTCTATTGTCGTTCCATCGTCTGATAACATGAAGATGGGAATCCGTACGAATCCCTTTAACGAGGAGTCAGTGTCCATGAGCTGCCAAAGTCTCATCCGTAACCCTTGTTGAATTAGCGGCTTGGCTTTCAGAGCTTTATAGTATTCCTCCGAAATAAGGGTGACGTCTGCGCAAGAGTCTAGCCTCAGGTCCATTCGTGAGTTGTCCAAATGCCCCACCCATCCTTTAACCGATAGGACAGAAACTCCCACTGAAGATTCCCCTGCAGGGTAAAATCGCTTCTTGGGCATTCTGACAGGCTTGATCTCTTTTGGAGGAGGGGGAAGTTGGATTGGACTCTCGCGGGATTCTGCGCTGTTAGCAGTGACACTTTCCTGAGGAATGTTGGTCTCCAATGTATGGACGGTCCTCAATGTTTCGACCACTTCTTCTGTGTTGAGGGAATTCTCTTCCAACCCGTGGTCCGTGGATTTGCTTCTGTCTCGTTGATCATGCCATGACTCATCTTCGACTTCGTTCGCAGACACGGGGGATGATTTACGCGAGGTTTGCGCTGGATGTTTTACAGCTGGAATCGGATCCTCTTCATGT